GGGGGGGGGGGGAGGTTGCATGTGAATCCCATATCTGACCGGAATGTCTGTTTCGCCGAACTGATATACTGAATACTTTTTCAAGGCCCGACTGCAACCTGCCTGCTGGGTGTGGCCTATACGTCTCCATATGTCGACAGTCATTCACAACTTCATTGTCATTTCCGACTCATTCGTAGCCTTTGGTTGATTTGGAACCCCTCACTTCCCTTGTTGGTTGAATCATTTCAACCAAACATTTTGATAAAAATTGCTTGTTTGTCTTTCTTCGTGTCGGTCGTATTGTAAATTTCATTGATTAGCCGTATATCTTGTTTACAACAAGAAATCTGTGAGGTTATGCTAACTAACCATACAACAAACGAGAATTTTCCATGTCCATTTTTTACTGACAAATCCCACATCAAATATATTAATTAGTACATAGCTTTGGATCCATCCAATCATTTTATAATAGACAACTAATGGAGAGAATACGGCACCAAAAATGTCCAACCCCTACACGTTAACTATAAAATGCATTTTACACTTATTTTATGTTTTTTAGCCCAAAAAAGGTCCAAAAAAATTTTCGCCTCGCTCCGCTCGGCCAACTTTCATACAACGCCCCCCTTTCCATAATCCTGGATCCGCCCCTGCTTACATGTACTTCATTTGAACTTGGGTGGGTAGTTGTCTCATTGGCAATCATACCTCATCTCCTTATTTCTATAATGTCATAAAAATAATTCGGTTTAAGATATGAAGAAAAAGAGATACCAAAGTAGATTGCCAATGAGACACCTATCCATATGATAAAGACCACAGGAAAAATATGTGAACAAAAAGGACGTAATCAGTCGCATTTAGACAGATAGCACAGTAAAAGTTGTAATCTTATCAAGAATGTTTATATACGAAACAAAATCCAGTTAAATAGAATGACTGTCTGAGAAAGTTAATAGAACTACGATGCAGAATATACAGGACTATGGGTAACTTCATTGTTTGTACCCCTAAATGAAAATAACGGCCAGTCATTGGTTGAATTTTCTTTGTTTATGGGATTATTAACAAATCACAAGGTTTTGGAGTACGATTTTGAAAACATAACCCATTTTGTAGTAGATTTGAAACAGCGAATTAGAAGAAAAAATAGTAGCCAATAAATTTGCATGATTTAAACCGATATAGATACATGTAGTCCCATATTATACGTCTCTAATTAAAACCCGACATTTAATAAAAAGAGGGAGAAAATACCAAGTTGTCAACCTACAAAACACCAGTCGAAGGAAAATGGACAAAACCATGGTCAAACAGAAAAACGACTAAAAGAGAAGCAAAAGTCCAATAAACGCTTCACAGAAAACTAGACTGAACAACACGAACCCAATCACAAACCGAGTTGACCTAATTTGCTCCGGAAGGTGGAGTAGCTTCTTTTCCACTTATTCCAGCCTTTTGCTATGCATTCAGTGATAATTGAAATACTTAATGTCAAAATCGAGGAAAAGAGGACGAGATTGTAGCTACAACTATTGAAATATATATTAGTCACATGCATGTAACACAAATATTCCTTACAGATCAATCAAATAATGATTGCGTCCGTTAAATTTTTGATAGTTTGGCTGGAGCTTTCCACCAGGAACCCTCGTTTAAAAATCATCATTGTAATCAGAAATCACAGATTCTGGAATAAAGTATTGACTTACAGACATATGCGTAATACGCAGGAACTTTCCTACACATGGATTTTGATTTTTTTTCTCTTTTCTGTGAAGCCTTAATATTTGAGTCTTGGCAATGTGACACCCCAATAGCATTTTAACATTGCATTCCCTCACTATCTTCTACTTAACGCAAAATCAATGCGTTATGGAAATTATTGAAATATTATGACGGATAGAGGCCAAAATTTCGGCATCAATTTTTAACATTTATTCATTGTCAAAAGATATTAAATTATTCTGTATATTTGTCTTCGGTAGTTGTTTCTTTGCATGACGGGTTTCACATGTGGAACAGGAACTGCTAACCCTTCCGGAGCAAGAACGATTTGTTCGTCTTTTTGGTTTTTTTTTCTGCATGGCGTTGTCAGTTTTTCTTGGACTGATGAGTTTTGAATGAACCCTTGGTATCTTCTGCCTCTTTTTGATATGTTTTTTTTTCACTTTTGTTTTGTCTATCATACTGTTATGTTTAGGTAATGGACATCTTGTTGGCTCGTAAATGTACATAAGTGTAGAACAATCATATTTAGTTGGGTTTCAATTTATTGATAACAAAATCAATATTTATACCGATAAAAAACAATAATCTCATATCTCATATCAGTTTTGAATTGGTAACCTTTTAGAAAAAAATATTTAGAGGGTCGATAAGTTTACCTGGATTGTGTCTAAGTTTACGGCTCGGTAAACTACATCACGGTAAAATAAGGATGTGCTATCCCGTTTGTATAAGTTTTCTACGGGTACAGCCAAACTTCCAAACTAAATCTCTGTATTTATGAAAGAATTTAATAAATGTTTTAAGTAATTTGTGGTAACGAAATCCTTGACGCAATAATTTATCCGTAGTGCATAGATTACGTTCATGGAAATCCAAAACGTCACAACAGACACGTGAAGGGGGCAAAGCACAGTAATAAATATAAAGAGATAGAACATAAATATAATAGAAGACGTAGACAGCTCTCTCACTAGTAAAAAATCCTAACTATAAAATATAAGGGCATACACCACAGGCACGGGGGCACATTCTAATGCATCTTCACAGCACGAGCAACAAACCCTGCAACCAATAAAAAAATAAGAAGATGTGGTATGAATGCCAATGGGACAACTCTCCACAAGAGCCTATGGAATTTTAAAAGTACATTAATAAAATTTTTACCCTACATTTGCAAAAACAGCTTAATCTCCATTTTCAAAATGAAATACAACTTTATTTTTAATGCCCCTTCCCCAAACCATACAATGCCAATAAGATGAACACATGTCTCATGGGATTTGAATAAGATTTTCATTTGATGCAACAATATATATCAGGTGAATTTTTGGAACAAAAATGAATATGAAAATAAAGAAAAAAGTAATTTTAAAAATCGACAAATGCACCACTAGTGCTTCTAGAATTTCATAAACAAAAACATACATAGATAATAGTGAAAAATAAATGACATATTCAGTGATAAGTCGAGACCATTCTGATAAATGGTTATCTCAAAGATTGAGATTAGAACAGACAAAGAAGATAACACATTCATATGTGAACCTTTAGACAAATTTTTATCTATTTGTGTGCGATCTTGATGTAATTATAAACAATAAAATTGAAAAAATGGATAAGACTAAACAGGAAGAGGTAGGCTAAGAAATATAAATAAAAAAAGAATCTATCATTAGAATTAGATATACCCATATGGTTCGCGCATATTAATTTTATATCTAACATAACCTCCTATAGTGTTTGGTGTAACACAATCTGTTTTGATATGTACCTGATCACTACCTCTAATAAAATGTGCATATTCGGGATTAAATTGCCTTTAATGTTTAGTGTTACGATTTATATGGACTTCAAACAAATGTAAATGCCATATCTAACTTTACCAAGGTTTTTATCAGACTTGTATTCCAGGGTCAATCCAAAATATTGTAATACAAATAGCTTAATACGCATAGAATGAGATGCTAAAATAACCCCAATATTTCGTATAAAATTTACAATAAGTTGTACATTATAAATTTAAGACAATAAGAATGGTTTATCCGAGGATGGTAGTGTCCCGATGGGTTTATCATTGAGCGTCTACAAACAATGAGGGTCGTAACGGTTTCATTATATTTTGTTTACATTTACTGTTCAAAAATTGTAATAAATAATAATTATAACTCGGACGATTAAAACAATCCATTTAATTGTGTATGTGTAATATAAAATTATCAGAAATCATTGCTATGGATATTGGTCGCATTTGCTCATTCAGTAGTGTGTCATGTGTAGTGGTCAGTTAATTTTGTTGAGAAGTCAAAATAGGGTTACTATTCCATTGACATCATGTTTAGAGGGTGATACTAGGGTTATTACCTCTGAAGCCTAAACACCATATTAACAGGGTAAGATTAGGGTTGTCACTCTCTTGACAAGAAATATAGAAGGGGATTGTACTGTTGTCACTCTTTTAATGCCATATTCATAGAATAATACGGTTATCACTCTCTTAATGCCATATTTATGGGGTAATAATACGGTTGTAAATTTCTTAACGCCATTTTTAAGAGTAACGATACGGTTGTCACTCTCTTAATGCCGTATCTATAGGGTAATAATAGGGTTGTTACTCTCTTAATGTCATATCTATAGGGTGATAATACGGTTGTCACTCTCTTAATGCCATATCTATAGGGTGAAAATACGGCTATCACTCTCTTAATGCTATATTAATAGAGTGATAATAGGGTTGTCACTTTCTTAATGCCATATCTATAGGGTAATAATACGGTTGTCACTTTCTTAATGCCATATTTATAGGGTGATAATAGGGTTGTCACTCTCTTAATGCCATAACTTTAGGGTAATAATACGGTTGTCACTTTCTTAATGCCCTATTTATAGAGTAATAACAGGGTTGTCACTTTCTTAATGCCATATTTAAAGGGTGATGATACGGTTGTCACTTTCTAAATGCCATATCGATAGGGTGATACTAGGATTGTTACACTCTTTTTTCTATTTTTTTTCAATGTCTCAATTGTTTTTCAGTCACGTAACTGTTTTTAACCAATGTAATCAGATGTATCAAAGAAAAAAATATTAACTTCGCGATTTAGATCTTTGAATATGATGTGGGATATGAAGTTAAACTTATTATGAATCCATATAATATGGTTTAGGTCAAACATGTGTAATTGTATTCATTAAACCTATTTGTATTGAACTTGTTCATAACGTTGAAATTAACTCATAGATAAGAAGGACTTGTTATACATACTGGCTAGTTGTTACAGGTACTTCTGCCTGTGTCATCGAGAATGGTCGCCGATCAAAATGAAGACCGCCGCTATGGGTGTGGGCCAATGAAATCGGGGTAATTATCTTTGTTTATATAGTATTCAGTAAAGCTGATCAAACACTTTTATCCAATATGTGATTAAGAGCGTTAACCATTTTCAGCGTTAAGTATAGACATTTTCTTTCATTAATATCTATTGTAGGTTAGACCATTATATTTATATTTTCATTTTTCTTCAGTGCATTGATTTTTTTCATGATGATCGTTAATCAAAGTTTTATTGTTGTTATGTTTATTAATTCAAAATATTGTTTGTTATGAAAATAAGAAGATACTAAAGTATCATTGCCAATGAGACAACTATCCACCAGGGACCAAATGACGTAGACAGGTCACCATAACGGCTTTCAACAACGAGCAAAACCCATACCATATAATAGGCTATAAAAGGACCCGAAATGACAAAATGTATTTCAAGCGAAAAACAAAGGTCTTACTTATGATAGAACAATAAAACGAAAAACAAATATGAAAGACAGATAATTATTCTGTCTAGCGATGGGTGTTTGGCATTTTATAGTATCTTGTATCTGATCTTTTTCTTACAAAATGTTTATCTAGTCCTTATTTTATAATTTAACATATTTTACTTAACTTACATTAATCAATTATTTTATCTTTGGTGGAACACACTTACAATCTGCTTACCCTTCCGGAGCACCTGAGATCACCCCCGTTGCGGTTCGTGTTGCTTTTTTTATTAGTTTTCTATGTAGTGTTTTGTAGACTGTTGTTTGTCTTTTTGATGTTTTTCGTTTAGACCACGATGTTGTCTGTTTTTATTGTAATTAAGATTTTTTATTGTCATTATGGTATCTTCTGTCTACTTCATACATGACTATGTTCTTTTTTCTTATTCAGTTGTATACAGTGGCTGAATTCAATCCGATGGCACGTTTTCTGGCAATGCATTTTCAACTTTTTCGAGGGATTTATTGTAAATGGCGTGGTGAATGTAATTATACCAGCTCTAGAAAAACGCTATGAACTGTCTAGTTCCAAATCCGCCATTATTGCCAGTGCCAATGATTTTGGAGCTTTCGTACTATTAATCTTTGTCGGTTACTTCGGAGAGAGACGTCATAAACCTAAACTGATAGGGGCTGGAATCTTATTAATGGCGTTTGGTTGTCTTGTATTTTCGCTTCCTCAGTTTATAGGAGAAAAGTATGCTTACACAATATCAGGTATGAATAATTCTCACGCTTCACTAGATCTAAGCTGATTTCTTGTTTGTTTATACACAGAGCTTATACAAAAGAGACCTCGATAGTTGAGCGATATCAATAGTTTTAAAAACATCTTCCCGTAAAGACACGACAGGAACTTGAATGAATTTAGATGCCAAGGAAGGACTTTCAATGATTATAAATCACGAAAACAAGCTGTTTTTGTTGTTGAAGTCATCAGGTTTGTATAACACTCAATGGAATGTAGCACATATATCAGAAAGTTCTCTGAAAACAGAAGTCATGCACTCAACTAATTAAATAAAGGCAACAGTAGTATACCGCTGTTCAATAGTCATAAATCGATTAAGCGAAAACAAATCCGGGTCACAAACCAAAACCAAGTGAAACACATCAACTATAAGAGGAAAACAACGGAACAACAGAAACACTGAACTGCTATGCTACAAAACAAACGCCAACATTCATAAAAACAAACTATTTTATAAAAACTGCCATATTCCTGACTTGGTATAGGACATTTTAAGAAAAAATGGTGGGTTGAACCTGGTTTTATGGCTAGCCAAACCTCCCACTTATATGGCAATGTTAAAAATACCGCTAAAATGAAAACAGGAATACAGTACAAATAAACGAAAGAACACTCAGGACAGTGAAATACATAAATAAATGATATAATTATAGTACATTACAACATTTAAACCACAGAATAACAACGGACACCTTTGATTAATTTACGACAGTACACCATTACACCACAATAGAATTATGAACTGTGCGTCACACGAATGTATCAACGCCACAAAAAGTGACGTCACAGGTAAATTTCTAAAAATAGAATATAAAATTGGGATTAAGTTTGTAATGGTGTAATTTTATGTATTTTCTAACCATTACAAGAATATTAATATAGAATTGTGTTAGTAATGGTGTAATTATTTGTATTTTCTAACCATGTCGGTTTTTCTTCTAAATCAAAACTGTGTAAAAACAAATAAATCCTGTGCATATAGTTGCTTTAAACTAAAAATCATATAAATGAACTAGCTGATTAATTATCTTTACTTTTACATACATATCGAAAATAAAAATAGAATTCAAACCACAAACGATAAGACATAACACAATAATCAACCAGACTTACAAAAGACACATCATAACTAAATACATGATGTTGGATGTATAAATACCGAGACACGTCTAATAGCAATTCGAATTCACACTCGACAAAACAGTCATATTCTGGAACAGGTCACGTTCGGCACTTAGCAGACCAGACGACGTAGATGGTAAACCACAATCTAAGACGTGGTAAAAATGTTGTTAGTTAGTTTAGACACAGACACAGACACATCGTATAGATCAACCAATTCGTGATGGTGTCCATAAAATTTACGGAGTGTCATTTTTAATCTTTCCTCCTCATAACTCTGTTGGAGCAGTTTCTGCGTAAGGAGCACACTCCTGTATATGAAGTCCGTATAGTGTGAACATGCACGAGCATAACGTATCAAATGAGATATGTAAACACCATACGATGGGGCAGAGAGTATGTTATATCTGAGAAATGGAAAATTGATAATTGGGAAGTTGAAATCGTCCCGTTTGTCATAGATTTTAGTGTGAAGTCGTCCATCTGTGTCAATATTGAGGAAAAGATCAAGCTGAATAGTCAATATTAATATACAAGTGATTAAAGTAAATTTAAGATATGTTTCATTTCTACGATTTCACCATGATAAGGTAACAAATATTGAAATGAAGGAGCTACAGTATTTTATTTTCCATATTTCACTAGATTCTTCTAAAAATGGGAGTGACAACCTTTGCAGCATAGGAAATACAACGTCTTCATGTTCCTCGGACGTTGATGACATCAAAGAATACTTCAAAGCTTATTATGCCTTGTTTATTGTTGGGCAAATGTTCTTAGGAATAGGTGCTGTTCCCATGTTTACTATTGGGCTTAGTTATATAGACGAGAACTGTAAACAGAAATTAACATCATTTTATATAGGTAAGATAAATATTATTGTTTGATGAATAAATATACTTACGATCTGAAAAAAAATGAATAATAATGTTATGAATTTTCCTTTTATTTATTCTCAGCGTTTTAAGACATAAAACAGATTGCTTACACAAAGTATTTTTAGAACTGAAATGGCTTTCTTGTTTTAAGTTATGTAAAATTGGACTTTAGAAATGATGATATGAAATAATTTGAAAGTGACCTTATCCGGAACACAAGAGCTTTCTCTAACATATACATTTTGATTAGGCAGCGAGATACAATGAAAGATTCATAAAAAAATGACAATATTCTGTATGTTTTTATTTTCAGGTTTAACTTTTTGCTCGGCTGCAGTTGGGGTTGCCATAGGTTACATTGTAGGAGGTAATGTTCTAAACGTCTTTGTTGACGTAGACAAACTTGACGTAGCAAAGTAAGTAACTTTGTTGTGCACACAAGCGTCTTTAGTGGACAATTGAAAATGTATGACTGACGGGCTAATTATGTAATCGGTCGACAGAAGATTAAGAATAATAAAAAAACACAAATAACCAAACTTAAAGTATTCACTGTTACTGAGAGCTAGTTCATAGTCATATTTCAATCGATAAATAAATCCTGCCCCCAGAACTAAACATCAATCAGAACATCTCAGAGCGAACTTAGCGTAAAAATGTCATAATCAATACGAGAAAATCATGACCTCGTACAATGAAAACATAAGTATCTGTGTTTGAGTTGAGGTTCTAAAAAATAAGAATTGAATTAAAGTGTTAGAAAATTATTGTTTTCTGTTTTATAAAGAGACTTATAGTATAAGTTAAATTTTTGCTAATGACACCCTACGGATCCATAGAGGGTAAGTAAAATCCATAGGGGGTGGGCCGAAGGACGATTCCTGCCAAGTTTTGTTCAAAAACAATCAATGACATTCAATACCATTAAAAAATGACGTCACCATTAACAGTGGACGTGACGTCATAAACCCCATATGAAATCTACTGACCCCTTACGGATCCATAGGGTCACTACGTGACAGCCTAAAACCAATCATAACGTCACTTATTTACCCGAGGTTTGATAAAATAACTTATCAAAGAAAAATATTTAACGAGTGAACGAACAACACATTAATTCACGAATGTCAAAAATTTTTGTTTACCACTAACAAGATAAATTTACAGAATGACTTTAGGTCATTCTCCGTTGTTGTATAGTTGTACAGGATGAGTATGACACAATGGCCTGAGGTCTTCTTGGTCATCTCCCTCTAGGTATCTTCAAACTTTTTTTTATTTATGGTCCTCCTGATTTGTCTGATTCATGATACCTCTAGCTAGGTATCTTCAAACTTTTTTCCTCCTTCGTATCTTCAGACTTGTCTGATTCATGATCCCTCTAGGTATTTTCAAACTTTTCTGATTAGTGGTCCTCCTTCGTATATTCAGACTTGTATGATTCATAATCCCCCTAGATATTCAAACTTTCATATTTATGGTCCTCCTTTATATCTTCATACTTGTCTGATTGTTCCTCCTTTGTAACTTCAGACTTGTCTGATTCGGGATCCCTCTAGGTATCTTCAAATTGTTATGCTTTATGTTTTTCCTATGCATCTTCAGACTTTGTTTTATTAATGTTCTTCCTAGGTATCCTCAAATGTTTTTGATTTATGTCCCCGTTAGTATCTTCAAACTTTAAGCATTTGTGTTTCTCGTAAGTATCTTAGAAAGGATTTATGTTTTTCCTAAGTATTTTTATGTTCTTTCTTTGTATCTTCAAAACATTTTGATACACGTTCTTCCTTGGCATCTTCATAATATTTTTATTCACGTGCCTTCTTGGTATCTTCAAAATATTTTGATTCACGTGCCTTCTGGGTATTTTCAAAATATTTTGGTTCACGTGCCTTCTTGGTATCTTCGGAATATTTTGATTTGTGTTCCTTCTTGGTATCTTTGGAATTTTTTGACTCATGTGCCTTCGCATGTGTTAAAAATATCTCTAGTTCATGTTTACCCTGGGTATCTTTAAACTTGATTGAATCAAGTTAATCATTAATCAAGGAAGAGCAATATGAATGTTCAATTATTTCAGCTTACCACTGAAATCATCAGATCCGCAATGGGTAGGAGCATGGTGGATTGGAATCATAATAGCTGTTCCAGCATTTATTTTAGTTGCTTTTCCAATACTTGGGTATCCTCGACATCTTCCAGGTAAATGCTTATTTTTTTATAGCTGTAGTTAAGATATTAAAGAGTATTTACAAATTTTCTACACTACTTTAACACATATCGACAGACATCAAATACACCATCCGCTCAGTAACAAGTCGTTCGCTATCTACTTGAGATGAATAAACATTTTTGTCTACATTTTCCTTTTCAAAGAACAATGGAATTTTTCTAAAAACTAAGATTGCAATTCCCAAAGGAAAAATTTACTTTGCACAGCTTTGTCTGTTCTTTTTAGTAAAATTTGGCTTTATACTCTTAATTCATAATTCTGACTTTCCAGACTTCACAAGCGTATAATTTGAAGGTAATTCCACAAAAAAAAAACGCGCTGAACGCACGAAAATCAAATGATTACATATGTTTTATTGATATTTTTTCTTGCACAAGTTAGGCAAAACGTACTTATCAGCAAATCTAATAGGAAATACCAACTATACAAAAAGATAAACTTAATTCAAAAGACGAACGACTAAATTCACTGGCATTTATGGGAAAACATCGAAACAAAAAACCGGTCGAAGAAGTGGATGAAGGCAACCAATCAGGAGCTTTCTTAGAAAGAGTATCGAGCTACACTAGTAGGTGCATAAGAAAGACAAAAAATGTATTAAATGTCTTTCTGAACATTGAATCATAAACTTAAAACAAATGTTTTGTACATTTGCATTGACTAGAACTACGAAGACACCGGTTGTGATAAGCGTATTTGGTAAAACAAAATGTTATAATGAATCATTATTTCTTTTCTTCAACGACTCATATTGCTATTTGGAAATGCGATATGACTACTGAAAAGCAGGGCATGGTGTAGATAATAGGATATTAAAAATGACTTTTCATCATGTTTTGTTTTTTTAATATTGACAAGGTTATGAAGAGCTCCAGAAGCAAAGAAAGTCTGAAGCGTACGATAATGATGCGGAAGAAATCACTGCACAAGCATCATTTGGTAAAAACTGGAAAGATTTTCCTCGATCATTCCTACTTTTGGTAAGATTTGAATTCGGAAATATTATTGATTAATCTTGAGGATTCAAACTTTTGACATAAATGTCTTTTAAGTGTTTACAGTTATTACTTTCTATTAGAAATATTTTTGCTTATAATAAGGTCTTACAATAACATAAACGGTACCAATTTTTCTGCACCAGATGCGCATTTCGACAATCAATGTTTCTTCAGTGATGATCGAGGCCAAAATATTTGAAAATCCAAAGCTTATTAAAGAGATGACGAGCTATAAACCAAAAAGGACAAAAGAGCTTTGCATGAGGGAGATATATTCCTTATTTAAAATAATTTCCAACATTTTGTAACAGCAATTTTAATAAAACAAAATCCGTATTTTCATGCCAGTACCGAAGTAAGAAAACTATTGCAACCATGATAATTTATAATTCATACAAACAAACACACATATACATCGAAATTGTCTTTTACAGTTGCACTATTTGACTGTGTAATTCTTGTTGATTTGCTTGTTTGTTATATTAACTCTAAACTCTTTATTAGCTTCTAAAATCTTTACGAACCTGTGGAATGATTTGATTGGCTTGTAATGAATTCGATTAGAATATTTATTTTATGGTCCACCAACCATACAAGCTTAACTTATTTTTATTGTAAAAATTCAGGTATATGCAATTCAACTTTTTTCCTCATTTTATTATTGTGTGATTTTTATATTGATACACATTAACAAGATAACGAATTTATTGATTAAAATGATCTATGAACGCAACTCTCGTCATTAGGTTTTCTCGTCAATAACTTATTTGAAGCATGTTTTCTATTGACTAAATAATAGAATTCGAATGAATTATGAACAATTTTATTTAAGGAATGACTGTAATATTTTTCTGTCTATGAAGAAATAACATAAAAAATGTGGTGCACACTGAATAACCCGCGTAGCGGGTTATTTTAAAGTGTGCACCACATTTTTTATGTTATTTCGAATAGACAGAAAAAATATTACATTTAATTCTAAATTCCATTTTAAACCGGAGTAAACCATTAAAAAAACGTTGATGACGTCACGGTCACATGACAAAATTATGTCTATGAGCTGATAAACAAAACAACGTCAGCCAATCAGAAGACGCGTTACATCCAAAATTAAATTATTTAGAAATAAAACTATAATGATGCAAATTATAGTATTATTAATAATTTCGCCACATGTATGATTTTTTTTGCCGAACATGTTTTTCCTCAAGAAACCCAATAAAAAGATGACATTGTTTTAACCGAAGATCGTTCAACACTGACATATATCAGAAATGCGTATCCTATTCTCACCATGACCGAAAGATATATTTTATTTTTCGAAAGGAATTGTTATTGTCTTTTAGATAAAGAATCCAACATATGTTCTCATTTGTTTGGGCAGTGTGTGTGAGACTTTGCTTATTGGTGGCACTGCTACGTTCGGATCAAAAATAATACAAGAATTTTTCAATGTTGACCTAGCTACTGCAGGAACTATTATGGGTAATTCCAAATGAGAATACTAATTATGGGAAATACATATATACTTTGAAATGACCGAGTAAGCTCCAGTAAATAAACTGAAGGTAAAAAGATAATAATAGATAGATCAGCTTCTTTCGGAGGGCTATTACGCATTTATTTTAATATTGTTAGATCTGTGTATTACACAATGAACTACTTATTCAACAGAAAAAGACCTTTACAAACAATTGTATCATTACGATTCGATAACATATACAGCTGAAACTATCCGACTGCTTATTGCAAGATCTGAAAATCGCGTCTTTTTAAAGGTTCAACTTATTTTCGCAAAATGATTGAGAGATATAGATGTATACTTAAATGCAACACAGGTTTATTGTAATATTAATATTATAATACTGCTTGTGTTGCCCTACATAATGTTTTATGTTAACGTATGAATAAACGAACACATGGTATAACGTCAATGAACTAAAAACAGAACAACATAAAAAAAAAATAAAAAAATAAAAAAAACGTTGTTGAGGTAAACATACCGTCCCCAACAAAAATCTTTTTATTATTTCATTGTTTTATGACAGGTGCTATAACAATACCTGGATCTGGTGGTGGAATGATATTCGGTGGATATATGGTTAAGAAGCTAAATCTGAAGCTTCGTGGAATTATATACTTTTGTTGCATTAGTATTGGACTCGCAGCTTTACTTGGACCATCATTTTTGGCAAGTTGTCCGAGTCAACCACTTGCTGGAGTGTCAACAGACTACAAAGTGTTAGTTTTTCTTTCCGACTTGTCATATAAATACTATTGCGTTAACAATATCTAAGGTGATTATACTACGGAAAAAAATTGTAAAGTTATCAAAAAGAAGCAATCATTATCGAAATTACGTAAATATAATAAGACATAATTTCCCTGAAGTTAAGTTATAAGGCTTATCTTTTAAACTAGGTACGAAAAACTTAACATATACTATTATTTTCAGAGAAATTGGAACTAGTTTGATTGCTGGCTGTAATAATAACTGTGGTTGCACAACAGCAGGGTTTGAACCAATTTGTGATCAAAACAAAACAGTTTACTTTTCACCGTGTCATGCAGGTTGTACAGAAGCTATTATTACAAATGGAACGAAGGTAGGAATTTTTTCATTTTCTTACACAATAACATTACGACCCAGAAATCACCCTTTGAATTCTGTAAACAAAATAATTTTCGCAAGCGATTCAATTACACGGCTTCAGCTAGAAGAAAAATAACGCGAATATATACAATCGTCACGAATATTTTTAACTCGAACCACTTTCATATAAATACTGAAGCAATAGTAGTACACATCAACATTTTTAGTTTGAATCTTGAAAATAAATCATCGAGGAGTAGACTTGAAATGGGTAAACGCTAAAAAAAGTATCCGTAAAAATTACTTAGTTTACACTAGCATTAAGTGAAAAAAGACAAAAAAGTATGGTCAATTTCCCTGAATTTGTGTCCCTCGGGTTTAAAAACTAAGCGTTCAAAAAACATCGTGAAAGTTAAACCTAAAATAGCCTTCTTAAAGGTTTATTCAACAATTTTCCATATAATCAAAATGTTATTTAACAATTTTAGATAAATTTGTTTTTTTTTTGAGAAAAAACTGAAAAGCTTAAATTACTTCTGGCAGATTTTTGTTTTGGTTAAGAATGTTCTTTTTTAGGTTGTTAGTAGATGCTGAAAAATGTACCAAATTTTAACAATTCTCAGAATTACAGTTTGGAATTATGTTGAAGAATTTTCAGGAAAACGACAAAAAAAAACCCAATTTCAGCGCTGTAAATTAAGACATTTTAAATGATTCTTTTGCAATAAGCTGAAGTGTGAAATATATTAATTAGAAATTGTTTCTAACATTCTTGATAACTTTAACAAATTTTAAGTAAATAAGGTCTTAAAAACAAATATTTCACAACGTTGGTAATTGTACAAACTTTACAATTATTATAATAATAATTGTTCGCTTAATTCAAGATATTCCTTTTGATAACACACACTGTTTGCAGATGACATATGTCAGTGTTATCTAAGATAGATACACTAACACATTTTGTTATCAGGTAACAACAATAAAATCAAGAATGTTAGTGTTTAGTAGAATTTATCAAAGAATCAAATGGAAATATGATTCATAACTTACTATGTTTTCCTCACTATATAAAGCTTAATTATTTAGCAATTTTTTTCATTTTAAATATTGTAAAAAGTAAAATCACAAAAATACTGAACTCCGAGGAAAATTCAAAAAGGAAAGTCCCTAATCAAATGGCAAAATCAAAAGCTCAAACACATCAAACAAATGGATAACAATTGTCATATTCCTGACTTGGTACATACATTTTCTTATGTAGAAATGCGATACAACACAACCAATAACGACCCACAAAATGCTCATTGTGGTGTAATTTAGTAGTTCTAGTTATGGAATAGACGAGAATTCTGCCTTGTCGGATGTCACAAAATATAGTACACTATTCGAAGAAAACATGGTGTAAATCTAAACAAAACAAAATGATGTAACTGTCAGTTTCTTTTCAAATATTACAATTAAACTAATACATGAATATAATTTCTTTATACATTTCAATCTATTTCAGACGTATATGAACTGTGATTGTATAAGTCCAGATGAAAACACCATTTTGGTAGTTTCTGGTTCCTGTTCTGACAAATGCAATTGGTTTTATGTGTTTTGTGTATTATTATTCCTTATAATGTGGTTCACATTTTCAACCATGTCACCCATAGTCACAGCAACATTCAGGTATTATTTATTCTAATCAAAGATTTTATTTTCATTTTATTTTATGTGTATTTCAATTATCAAACCAAGTAAGGAAATTGTTGCCTTAAAACATACTGATGAATTTACAGATCATATCTAAAACAATTTTTAAAAAGTAAAAAAACAAAAATACCGAACTCCAAGGAAAATTCAAAATGGAAAGTCTCTTATCAAATTGCAAAATCCAAAGCTCAAACACATCAAACGAATGGAAAACAACTATCATATTCCTGACTTACTACTGGCATTTCCTTATGTAGAAAATGGTGGATTAAACCTGGCTTTATAGCTAGCTAAACCTCTCACTTGTATGACAGTCGCATAAAATTTCATTATATTGACAACAATGTGTGAGCAAAACAAACAGACATAATACGTAAAAATGTCAAAAATAGGGGTACAGCAGTCAACATTGTGTAATAATCTTAATCACTATAGAAACAAACAAATATGTCTTCATAGAAAAACAAAATGGCAAATAGGCAAAAAAACAAAGCACTTAAGAAAAAATGAAAACAAGAATACAAAAAATGACCATAGCACAATCACACAATGGCGGGATGTATACGTACCGAGCCACGCCATAAGGATATTACCAAACATGGACTAAACAGCAAAGGTAAAATAATTTACAAAGACAGATGAAAGAACACTGTAACACGTAATTAAGATGATAAACAACGTCAGTACCTAGAATCTATACTTCAAGACCATCATGTATTATTTGTGAAGTTGATACGGAATATTTATCATCAAGGTCTTGGTATCTTCCGATGTTCTTTGACATAACCCTGGTTCATCAACTTTTTGCTCAGACACTGGTGACGTTGTATAAAGTCTGAGTAGCAGCTGTAAGCTCTTGAATACCGAATAGTATATCCCATATGCAGGTGAAGTTAGTATATTGCTACTAATGTGGGTGAAATTGATAATTTCAAAATTAGAATCGTCTCGTTTGACATAGATACTGAGTACTGAGATGACCGCTTATGTCAAATTCTTGACAAGTGCCTGAAGGAACTCCAGCTCATATGAAAATAAGAAGAGTTCGGCAAGGAGAGGTGCACAGTTCGTTCTCATAGGAATGCCGACAATTTGTTGAAAAAGTCTACTTCCAAATTCAACAAATATGTTGTCAATAGGAAACTCCAGCATACTCACTGGTTCCTTTGTGAAGCATGTTATACTTTTTTGTTCACTATTAACAAAATATGCCGTATGGTATCCCAAAGTAATAAATTTATAGCGTATGCTACCATTTTTATATTGAAAAGCATTGTGGATTATTTCTTTTAGACGATTTTTCAATTTCACATGGGGAAAAATCAAAAGTTTTGATAGAATTAATTTCAGAGAAAAATCGAGATTTGAAATTATTCAGAAGTTGGTTAGCACCGCTACGCGAGTAAACAATTTCACAGTATTTCTGTAGACTCTCTTTCACTGCGGACATAATTGTTTTCAATCTTATGGACCTTTGTAGAACATGCAGATGATCCGGCAATGTACCGTTGTTTTTACGGAATTTTGTGAAGCTTAGGTATCCAAAACAAACAAGATTTTAAAGATTAAAGTTTTTTTTGTTTTTTGTTTTACTTTTTTCATCATTACAATTCACCAGAACATGTTCTACTGAACTTATGATTTAAAGCTCCTCTGCGGAGCCAAACGCTGAATAGCTTAGTTTGGAGGAAAACAATTCTCATTATCCTAGTTCACATTACAAGTAAGCAAGACAAATAATAATTGACAAATAGCATCAATTTACCCGACCAACATAACCGAGATTGACACAGAAGTTGAAGGGTAAAAGGTTCTTGTTCATGAAGTTTCTCATCATGAAATTGAACTTGTCAAACGGATGTTATTGTGACCTCGACAAACGGAACACGTCTGTAATTAGCTACGATACAACCATTTAAAGATGTACAATTGGAGAATCAAAATTGTCTCTACTTTTATATGTGGACGATATTGTTTTGATGACCGAAAATGAATGTGATATGCAAAAGATACTTGATACTTTACATGATTGGTGCAAACAATGGAGAGTCTTAATAAATACAGACAAGTCAAAAGTTGTACATTTCAAAGCATCTCGTAAAAAACGGAGTGAATTTCAGTTCAAAATCGGTGGAAATATTTTGCAAATTACAGACAAATAAAAATACCTTGGAGTTATTTTCAATGAGAAAAAAAAACTATACGTCAAACGCTGAAAATCTTTCTACCGCTGATGGAAGAACACTCGGAGCTATTATATCGAAAATGCACAGTTTAACAGAATTTGGCATAAAGACTAATGAAAAACTGTACAGTTCTTGTATTGTGTGTATACTCGACTACTGTTCTTCAGTGTGTGGTTATAAAGACTTTGATTGTGTCGACACTGTTCAAAACAAGGCCATTAGATACTTTTTAGGAGTTCATAAGTTTGCTCCAAAGCTAGCTATCAACGGAGATGTTGGATGGTTACCTCCAAAAGAACGTCGCTGGTGTAATATGGTAAGGTACTGAAACCGACTGATGGATACGGACAATACAAGACTTTGTCAAAAGGTGTTGCTATGGGACTACGAACTATGTACGAATAATTGGTAATCTAGTGTAAGAACAATAATGTCTTCAGTTGGTATGGATAATAACTTTCAACAAATGCTAAAATGTGATGTTAACAGTGTCAGAAACAATCTTATGGATATATGTGCAACAAAATGGCACTCAAATTTATCTAACTCTCCAAAACTGCGTACATACAGAACCTTTAAATCTACATATTCAACAGAATCGTATATTAAACTCAATTCAAAATGTAGTGAGAGATCGGTACTGGCACAATTTAGATGTGGTATTCTCCCACTAAGATTGGAAACAGGACGTTTTGTTGGTGAGTCAGAATACCAACGAATTTGCAGAATGTGTGACTCCGGACACGTTGAAAATGAACTACACTTTCTGGTACCAATTTTACAGTGGTCTACGCAATAAATTATTCTCTGGACTTAGTGAAACCGTATTGAATATTTGAATAACAGTGTTCAGTTAAATTTGTTATTGTCTGAATATCTTCGAAAAACAGCTCGATACTTAGAACAGTCATTACGAAGACAACACTTATATTTAAACAATTAAAATGTATATAAATTTCCTGATGTCAGTCTGAATTAATACTAGTATCTATTTAAAGTGACTTATAGGTCCATTGGGCCTGGTGTAATTTAATTTAAATATTTCAATATTGTACATATTTTTGTCAAACACAATGGCACTATAATAAACATATTTGTATTGTATTGTATTGTATTGTGTTGTATGCTTTCTTTCGACCGAAACTTAAAAATACCCCAAAACTTTCACATTTTATCCATTTGTTAAATAACTTTAATGTAAGCAACACACCCGATGAACGAAATTATTTGAATATAATCATATTTAAATGTGTTGTATATATGGATCGTTGTTTTCTTTTATTAAGTTTCATTTTGTTAATCTGTTTATTCATTCTTCCGTTTGTTAGGTTTGTCCGTATGCAATGTATCTACAACTATTATACTATTGACAGTATTACAATTAGACGTTCAAGGAACCCTTTTATTTCATTTAATACCTTTTATTTCATTTAATAATTTACAGATCATGGCAATATTTGTTTAATTGGAGCTCTTCTCAAAAGTTTTGTAGTTTACGAGAGTTTTAATTGTAGAATATGAGTACTAACGCGTTCTTTTTCAACAATATAATGTTATTAGATTGGCTGCTATATCACAATATTGTTTTTATGAAATGCAATTAATTAAGTGTACTTGTTATCATACATATTAAATGTAATGTTTTTATCACACAGAGATGTAATATTTTTTTTCCTTAATCTATACAGATGCGTTCCTCATGACCAAAGATCTTCTGCTATTGGTTTACAGCTGTTACTTGTTCGTTTGTTAGGTAATTATTATAATATCAATAGCAGAGGACAAAAGTTGAGAAAAAACATATTACAATTAACTTAAAAGCAGTCGATTCTTCCAGTAGAATAGAAAAGAAAGATTTAGAATTTTTATAAATGACATTGGAATGTGACAAACTGGGCAACGATCCTCTGTTATATGTCATTTTAAAGAACCTTCTATTTTTGTTTTTGTTTTTACAGAACAATTTACTTGTATATCACTTTGGATAACTCTTGGTTCCTCTTTTTATACAATCAAATCACTGTTATATTGCATATGCTAACTCTATGATGCATGCGTAGCATCTACTTTCAAATTGCGGGAAATTCATGCAATAAATTTCACTTCTATAGTTTTTCATATACATGAACTTGTTCCGACTGACATCGGTACACTTTCCTCTCATATTTGTATAATGATAAAAATTCTGCTACAATTGATTTTGATAAAGTATCTTACAATTTATTGATTGATGCATTCCAGGTACCACTCCTGGCCCTATATTTTTGGGAACAATTATTGACAGTTCATGTGATGTATGGCAGGATACATGTGGAGTGCAGGGATCTTGCTGGATTTATAACAAAACCGATTTAGGACTTCGTATAATGGTTTGGTGGATATGCTTAAAAGTTTTGGGATTTATATTCTTATTCTTAGCAGCTAAATTTTATAAACCTCGAAAAGAGAGTACAGAAATAAAGGTCTCACAACCAGAAAGTGTCAAAGAACCAAAAATATATGACAAAGAAAAGGAATTTACAAAGCTTTGATTCTTAATTGAGGCATCTTAACAGTAAATCAACTGTCAATCATATATGATAAAACTTGCATTTTGCAAAATGATTAAAGAAACCGATATATAAAGATGGTTAAGGAATTGTCTTTGAATATTAATGCAATGTTGATATTTCCGATTATTTATCGGTTATAACGTATTTTTTTGAAATTATTAAGTAGTTAATTTACGATATAACCGATGGGAACTTTCTCATTATGAAATTTTTCATTTCAACCTTTGTTTTTAATTTTAACATTATGGTCCTTCTTTTATCTGATCAATTTTTCAAGTGTCCCACAGCAAAATTTTGATTTTACACAAGGGGTTGACATTTTGTATCCACAATTTCTCTCAAACGGGGAAAGGATTTCAATGAAACCTGCACATAATTTTTAGTACCTCATTGGATTGTGTAACTGTTATATAATTTATATCCAAATGAATTTTGTGGTTACCAATAACAAAATACGAATACTAACTTCCGTTGTTATTGCAAAAACAATATGTATGTATTCTGACCTCATTTAGTTTACATTAGACTAAAGATCGGTCTTTTTAAGATCGATCTCAGGAGAGATCGGTCTTTTTAAGATCGATCTCAGGAGAGATCGATCTTTTTTACAAGTCTAAACAGAGTTTAATTTCAGTATGCATTGCAAAATCAACAAAATTATTGAGTTTATCCATCAAATTTGCCCTATAAAAACGATAATACACAACGAATAGAAAACAAAAATTCTTAACCTGCTGCCAAACAATTTGCTTCCGATAAGTTCAGTGGTATTGTCATTAAAAGACGTTTAGTGAAGCGTGGTATAAAAACCCATCTTATTTTCTCAAAATCTTATCACACACTTTAAACATATATAGATATAAGAAGATGAGGTTTGAGTGCCAATGAGACAACTCTCCATCCAAGTCACAATTTGTAAAAAAATAAACCATTATAGGTAAAAATTATGTATATATTTTCATTATTCATGATATTGTCACGATTGAGGTCCATTAAAAGCCTGTGTGTAAAAGATCTCAATCATTAAATACAACTGTCAATAATTTGAATTATGACTCTTGATTGTTTGATATTAATTTTGGAGAAGTAATCGTTTATCTATGAATATATAACTTACGTCCGGGTAAAAGATGTACTGTTAACTATCGCTAACTTATGATTTACATACAATAAATATTCGGTAAAAGAAGTTGATGAGATGGATGTAAAAACGCAACACAAAATAAAGATTGCTCAAATGAAGGTATAGGTGTATAATGTTTGACTTTTGTACGTCCATCCATGGTCTGTCCGTCCAAATAAATAAACACATTGGAAAACATATGAAAAGTCACTCATACAAATTTCTTTCCTATTGAATGAAAAAAAAAATTAATTTCAATGAACAGAACAATGTACAATCATGTATGTTTGTATATAAAAAAAAAGAAAAAAATGAAATAGAAATAACACTCAATGTAGAAACTTATTCATAACATTAAATGACTTGAAGTTTAGCCTACAAGAATTTTTTCTGTAAATCTTTTAGTTTTAAATATATATGGTCTTGAACAATGACAAAGTATTTCTATTGTCTATATTCGGATCACCATGGAGTAAAGTAAAAATGCTAACAGGACAAACTTTAAATGTGACATAGACAGGAAGAGTTTAATGATTTTAGCGGGACGGAAAGGTTGGCCGACATGAACCAAGTCGATTGCGTTTGAGTCGTTTCTTAAAAATAAATTGCTAATAGAAGCTGAATTTTACCAAAAACTGGTAGGTTCCTCTGCAAATTGAAACATGTCGTATCTTGTAAAAATGTCCTTTATTTTGGAATGCCGTGGATTCATTAGGTCGTCATTGAAATCGGCTGAGAAGATCGCAATGCCAGTACATATAGCTAGAGCAACAGATAGGCACTCTGTCCGCTGTAATAACGTCGCAATGCCAGTACATATAGCTAGAGCAACAGATAGGCACTCTGTCCGCTGTAATAACGTCGCAATGCCAGTACATATAGCTAGAGCAACAGATAGGCACTCTGTCCGCTGTAATAACGTCGCAATGCCAGTACATATAGCTATAGCAACAGATAGGCACTCTGTCCGCTGTAATAACGTCGCAATGCCAGTACATATAGCTAGAGCAACAGATAGGCACTCTGTCGTTGTAATAACGTCGCAATGCCAGTACATATAGCTAGAGCAACAGATAGGCACTCTGTCCGCTGTAATAACGTCGCAATGCCAGTACATATAGCTAGAGCAACAGAATTTGTATAAAATTCAATATATATTGTGTTAAGTTTTGAGGGCTATAGAAAGTTCCAAGCAAAAAAGGTCAATTTTGCTTTACCTTTTATTCGAGCTAACACTTTCGATCCCACTTACATCTTGGGTTTGCAGAAAGTGTACTTTACGATCTACGTTGTCATACCGGTATGGCTTTTCAAAATTATCTAATCGAAAATCATCAAAAGAGAGTTCTAATGCGGATAGAACTGTGCATTTATCAACAAAAGAAAATCAATGTAACTAGCATGATAAATACTACAATGTCCATTAATACACCATGTATAGTAATATGCTTAGTATGAAACAATGACTGTGTTTGGTTTGCGTTTGCCAAACATCTCATTATTTACAGTTTTAATAATAGCTGAATTTTCTGTAAGAGTTAGTCTTGTTTTTAAGTCAGATTTGCATACACTTATAATAACATGACAGGTATAACACCCCAAAAATGTTGCATAAATGAATTTATAAAAACAAATTCATCTAAGTTAAACAACTTTTTTTCCAAACTCTTGTGGCTCGACTGTAGAAGAATTACTCTGACTTTCTAAAGTACGTTGGAAATACTCATCAGATAAAAGACACTACAAACCCGAGTTTTCTGAAATTGCTAGCAAGATTAATGCTTTATCACAATTTTTCAAAGAACCACAAATCAGAGTTAAGAGAAATTTGGTATCAAGCTTCATGTGATTATGTTTTACCTTATAATGCGTTTTACATTGATGGCTCCTCAACTTTCTGTTTACCATATACTAACATCGGGGTTATCATTAGTAAGCAAAAGCAGTTCAACTTATTTGATATTTTTTTAAGCCGAGTATATCTCAATTTTCCCCATATATGCCAAATTTAGAATCCTAGAATATAGACTCATATTGCAAGCGTTAGCAATTTTGCACCACTGGACTACAGGCTTCTAGCTGGGGATGTGTACACAAATGTGTGGTGGGTATCAACATGTTTGAAAGCCAAAACCTGAGACAGTGTTGTAACAGCAAAACATTTGAACAAACAGTTAGTTGGAAAAAGTAAAAGAACAAAAAAATACCGAACTCCAAGGAAAGTTCAAAAAGGAAAGTCTCTAATCAAATGGCAAAAGCAAAAGCTCAAACACACCAAATGAATGGAAAACAACTGTCATATTCCTGACTTGGTACAGGCATTTCCTTATGTAGAAAATGGTGGATGAAACCTGGTTTAATAGCTATCCATATCTCTCACTAATATGACAGTCGCATAAAATTCCATCATATCAATGTGTGAACAAAACAAACAGGAAAGTGATTGACTCAGTAAGTGGGTACAAACAACTACATAAAAAACAGGACAAAAGAAACAAAGAATCTATTTAAGAGTTGTTGCAGTTACTGCAGCTAGTTTGCTCAATTTGAACAAATACCATGTTTTCTAGACTTAATCATCAATCAGTACAACCCCCAACTGATTTTGTATATAGATGTCATAAGCAGTCTGAGCAAATCATTAACTTGTGCAATGCCAAAATATAAGTATCGAAAGAAAGTAAAAACAAAAGTGATTAAATTTGCAAGCTCTATAAACAACATCACTGTAAATATTTGCATGTGATAATATGATTTTAATAATTATAGGCAACATCCAAACCAAATCAAATCTTGTATATAAGAAAGAATTTAGTAAAAAAATTTGAAATAATTGTCGGTATCAAAATCACAGTCAAAGTCTTACAGTGATACACAGATAACGGTCTTTAAAATTCAATTTGTCACGTCAGACATGGACATAACAACAAGTTGGGAAATATATACACCATGACAAGGATGAAAGGAACATTTCCGTCTTGATAAGAAAGAAATAACAATATGAAACGAAAAATCGTTTCATTTGTCGTAAATCCTAGTTAATCCTAGTCGAGTTTCCTTAGTGTTACTGGAATATCTAAGCAAAAAAGTGAATTGTATCTTGTCAAATTAAATTTACTTTAAGTTATTTACCTTCGAAAAATTTCTGCAGTATAGCTAATTATAAAAATCGAAATTATTCAAAAGAGAAAAATGTAATCATGGTATCGGTAAGTAGTTTAGATTTTCTATTAAATTTTTTATGTTAAACCATAAACTGTGATTCACAACAACAAAGGAACAAGTTTTGCTATTCAAGGGGTGCATTTGGTTCCAAAAGGAATACTTACAAAACTCTATATAGCCGAAACTTTGAAAGCTATTGTTAAGGATTAAATCGATAGATTTTATCAACTTATTACACTTCAGGTAACTATATATGGCATATGTATTTTGTGCGTTGCAGATGAAGGTTTTCCATCAGGTGCAACGAATATATTTGCAATACATTTTTCGAAAGACAATTTGATAAAATGTGAAAATTTCTTTTTGATGAGAATGTTTGGAAGGGTTGTATAGAGTCATGACTGTGAATGGAATTCAAAGGACATTACAACCACTAAATTTATATCAAACGTCGAATGAATTTTCATAAAAATTATTAATTCCAATATAGTCAAATGCTCTTTCACAAAAATTAACAATAGTAGTCAGGGAACTAGTTTAAAAAACAAAAAAGATTAGTTGTAGAATTATACAAGAAGCTGAGATGAAACGACATGAGACGTGTTATTTTTATGTGGCAAAAACAGAAAAACGACCAAAAGATAAACAATAATATACAAAATACAGCATAAAAAACCAAAGACTAAGCAACACGAACTCCACTAAAAATAAAAATGCTGAAAGTCAGCCAATTAAGTAATAATCATTATTATATAAATAAACTGTACTTGTTTAAGTAATTCAATATATTAAGTAATGCCAGAACGAAAATAAAAAGGGGAAACGTTTAATGATAGTTTAACCCCGCGGCAATTTTTTTCTATGCCCAAAGAAAGTGACCCTCGTCATTGATTGTCATACCTTACTGTTTCTGCTTACAGAAAAAATGAGAATTTGATGACATATCTTTTTTACTTCCATTTCAATCTATGTAAACTCTAATCTAAGTAAACATTCTTTAAGAATCCGGTCGACTTAAAGCATGACATATTGTAAAGACATCTGTCTAATGTAGAAGATTTTTTTTCTATTTATGTTCTTCTGTTACTTTCTCAATTGTGTATAACTCTATTCTTTCTATATTCATACTAAAAATTTGTTTATATATATGTAGTTTTTACGTCATAACCAAACATGC